GAGAGAGAGAGAGAGAGAGAGAGAGAGAGAGGGGGGGAGAGAGAGAGAGAGAGAGAGAGAGAGAGAGAGAAAGAGAGACAGAGAGACATCTGTTATGTCCATCGGGGAAATTTAAATAGCTTGAGTTACATTCAGAACCTTAGATGATATCAAGAGTACATAATAGAGATCTCTGTAGATACATCTCTATTATGAATACTAGCTATTGATGATATGCAACAGTCCCGAATTTCAGCAGGTCGGTCATCTTTGCAGTCAATGTTAAAATGTGCAGTAATGAAAGCACTCACAGTAATGTTTATCTAGTAAATACCAACGTTTTATTAATGTCTATATAAATTGTTCAACAATAACTCCGATGTACATCTATCAAACTCGCATACATGTACCGTTAGCTATCATATATCATAATGGCCGCCGTAGGTCAGTCACCCACAGTACGCCGTCGCCCTTATCGTGAGCAGCAGTAATCACGGCCAACCGTTCCAGTCTAGCAACCATCTCGACAAGAACACTACCTCTAGCGCTGGAATGTTTAACGGATCACACACACACATACAGGTTGCACATAATTATATCCCGATAGAGAGACGACGTCGGTAGTCTGTCTATCTACTGCAGCTAGTTCTTGCGGGCAACACGATCGACACTCTTTTACGGCGTCTAGAAATTCTGCATCGCATATATTGCATATATTGATCAACGTCATCGTCGTCGCGACGCCGGTTTCATACTAAACATACAACATAATAAATATTGGCAAATGATTCTCACAACCTCCTACAGGAATCAGACGACTGATGGCGGTCAACCACCACCGGAATGTCAAACCTTTCTTTCTTTCTATCGCTCTCTCTGTCTCTTCCTCCTCCCTCCCTATGTCTGTCGGTCTCTATCTCTCTATCTCTCTCTCTCTAATTAATACACAATTTTAGAAGACAACCTATGATTAACAATACGAAGAACTTACTCGTCTAGCCCGCTAGAGACAGAACCTATTAGATGCAGAATTAACGCGGGTAGTATACAGAACTATCCCATTTGTAAGCTAGAAACACTCGTCCTATAACGAACAGCGGCAAAACTCTAAAATACGGCTAACAATTTTTCTCTCGACAGTGGCTTATATAATACAACTGAACGTAGCTATAATAGCATGAACATTTCCATACAGATCCTTATCATATAGATATATACATACAGCACATACCTTGCATAGATATATCCATGCTAATACAACCGTGCCTCAAGTGAATTGAACTGCTGTTTGCCGTTGATAGCTATTCAGCAAATGACACTTTGATAACACTTCCCATGACCTTATAAAATATGACCCGATTATTGGGGAATGCTCTAACAACAAACATGCCCTTAATGCCCTTGAGCTAATAGCGACCACACACTCCTGTGTCAGTGGCCTCAGCCTATAGCCCTGCTGCTTCCTTCTTTCCCGTGCTGGAGTGCAACAACTCCATTCCTCTCTTATCATACACACACTATAATAAAAACGCGACACAGCGTTTATCTCTGCTAGTCAGAGAGGCAGAGGAGCATGGGATAGTGATGGAGCTATTCAGTGAAACAATATTCAACGTTACTCAGTTATAGCGTGATACTTCATAGCGCAAGTGATACGACATGACCGTGTGCGCCTACACCGATAGCTGCCACCTAAAACTACCCGTTATTTCTAACAAGGCTCGGATACTCACTCACACTGGGTATATTTGAGATGGTTATATATATAAATATACACACATCGCACAGGCCACACTATATAACAACCACTATCAGGCAGTACCAGCACTTCTCAACAACAAACATAAACAATTCGTTGATCGATTACATCTCGAATATCTACACAACAGTTACATGTCAGGTACTCTTATTTCCTGTATTCACGATGTACGTCAATATTTAGCTAATGAGGCTATGGGACCGGCAGCAGAGACCAGAAAACGGGCACAAGCGCATTCCCGTCATCAACGCGGGATGCCTACCCCTTGGAAAGGTGTTCACCTCTACTTGGACTCAATGCGGACACCGTGCATGACATCACTCCATTAGTGACGGTGTTGTCGAAACCTGCACACATTTCGAAAAGCACCGCGAGCTACGTAATCTCAACCTGCCATCGGTGTGGCACGACAGAGCGCCCTCTGTGAGCGAGTCATGCAATTAATCGACGACCTAGACCGAATCGATTCCGTCGCCGGTGATACCGAAATCCCATCTCCGTGACGATTCGGTGCTTGGGGCTAGAGGGCAAAGTTGAGAGGTCGGAGGTGAAAGATTGAATGAATGTCCGGCACGCTACAAAACGCTGCGTGCAGTGGCCACTTCACAGAAGCAAGCAGTCTCACTTATTGCAGGTCAACCTAGAAGAAACGAGAGACGACATACATTAACATGTAGTCAACATGTAGTCAACGACTACAGTTCACAAGCTGTCTTTCTCTAGCTCTGCACCTACACTCTTCAACTGCAGAGGGCATGTCAAAATCGTCAAAAAGCTCAATAGCAAGAAATGTCAATCATCTACACATACTGATAATAAAAGAATTACACGCAAAGGCTTAATCTTTCTTGGTAAGACAATGATTAGTGATGCCGAAATCGAATCTTCGTGACAATTCGGTGATTGGTGCTATAGGGCAATGTAGGTCGGAGATGAAAGATAAATGAAACCCTCAGACCTGCTGAGAGTCAGGACTTACCTACTCGGCTAAACAGGTTGCACGTAGTTGGCTGGGTACAATCCCACACGTCCGTTCAGTCTGCCCTTGCACCAGCCTTGTTCATCTTCATCCTCAAGCTTTTCAAACACGTCTCCTGTAGATAATAGTAGGTCTCATACTGGAAACACTCCCTTCAACTGGAAGCCCCCTGTCTACCTTTACCTTCTCAATTGCGGGTACTATCGGTATTTAATTTATTAATCTTAAATTATTTATTTAATAAACAAACATACAAAGTAATAATAATTGAACATAATATAGATATATAATTTTTTGAATGTAATTATATATTAAATATATAATATATTTTTTAATCTATAATTATATCGTAAATTTATTCAAAGCAGGGACCGCCGCCTCCGCCGCCGCCGCGTCTCACCCTGTTTGAAGGTCAATTCGTCATCCTCGGCTCCATCGTAGTCATAGAGGGCTCTGACGGGCGTGCCCTCTCGGCCGTCGTCCAGCATTGCGTCGTCCGTCCAGTCGTCGTCCTGCGCGAACGCGCTCGGCTCGTTACCGCTGCCGTTCGTGCTGTAAGCAGAAGAGGGTCCAGGTTCCTCACATCACCGTCTATGCCTAATTATATCGTGCGATTCTTCCTGGAAATGTTTCCGTGGAAGTTTTCGAGGATTCCCAGCATTACGACAGCCCATTCTCTACAGTCCGGGACTTGTAACCTTTGAGTAGGGCTGATTTCTGGCCAATGTTTGTGAATTTCACTATGGGTTGTATAGTGGAAATTGAAAATTTTCTAAATGACTGGGGTTTCAAACTTATTTCCAAGATTGTTACAAGATTGTTAACAGCCCTGGTCAATTTTCCAGGAGGTCGAGATTTCTTCGGAATGTGATCTTCGCTCCTCCTGCGTCTAAATAATGATTAATGAACAAAACTCTTTCATTCCGCAAAGTTTATTTCCTCTCAGGGAAGATAGCCACAATGATAGCCTTAACTTAAATTTCCAAGATATCCGAGACAAATTTTATTCGCTCACAACTTGGTGACACGAGTGAACAGCACTGCTAGCTACTGCCAACATGTTTTACAGCGGCCAGACAAACAAGCGGGACAGGAAGCAAACAGACTGCAGTCTTGATGGACGCGGCTGTGACGTAGAGAGCCATGCATGCTAGTGGGCGGGCCGCGAAATTTTTTTTCCCAAACGGTATAACATAGGAAGGATTTAGGCGCCTTCTGATTGGCTGGAATTTGGCAAGATGTCAGCCTCCATGACTTGTAGCCAAAATCCCCAATTATCGACCAAAAACTTTCCCGAACTTTCTGTAAGTTAGGTTAAGGTAGTTTTTAGTATGTTTTCTTTAAAACAACATGGGTTTGAGTAAATTAACCCAAATATCATGCTGTTTCTTGACTGATTTGCTTTGACTGAAGAAAATCTTCAAGACAAGAGAACAAACGCCGGTTTATGATAATTATAAGTTTTCTGATGTATTTTCCATGAAAGACACATATTTTACTCATTATTATAACATATAATATTACTATAATTGCAATTCTTTGTGCAAATGTGTTATTTTCATCTTAATCTTGAGAGGGTCTAGGCTTATAATTATAGCTGCCGAGTTTCTGGTTCTGTTTATTCTAACCCTAACCCTAACCTAAATGACATTAAACCACAAACTAATATATGCCCATGACCATATATATATATATATATATATATATATATATATGTATGTTATTATGACCATGACATTAAATTTGGGAACACTCCTAATGGAGTATCACCAATGGTGGAGGGGTCTATTCTCTGCAGCTGCAGTCCCTAATCTATAGATATTGTATATGCTGGTACATATAAAAACGGTATCAGGAGATTAATGGACGAACAGGGTAGATAAGGCCGCGCTGTTCTCCAGCCATTCAACACGCTAGTACACGCTATTGAGGCGATTTATTGATAAAGAAAGCGAAATCTTAGACATTGTAAATGCAGTTAAGAATACTAACGAACGCGAGTGCATGTTTCTCTGTACTATTAGCGACGAAACTGGTAAGTCGGTATGCTAGCTCGACACCCGTCGGCGCAGCTATTATTTGACCTAATACAGTGTTCGACGAACACTCTAAATTGACCAATTAGTTAAAATGGTTTGGTCTGGAGACCCAGATTTCGGTCACGACCGTGGGGTTAAAAACCTCCAGACGTTGTGACACGTGCTAGTACATGTTCTGTTGGGGCATGCGTGGTGGAGGAGTCTATATACTCTAAATACAGAGTATGCAGAAAAAGATTTGACGCAAACGTGTTTCTCATGCGGATCTCCACTTATAGATTATATCAGGGGTTAATAATGACAAATTGATTGTCATTGATGTCATCACGACAATGATATTGTCATTATTAGCCCATGATTATATTAATTATAAACGAATTATCCACGGAACTTTTCGGAACACGAAGCTGCGGAACAACTATTTCAGCTACTATAATATTGACGACACTATATATACCGCCGCCATGCAGGGCACAGCTAGACCTATCCGTCCATTCTCTGATCAGGGGTGTATAAAAACAATTGATCAATTTGTTTTTATTCACTCCTGATCCTTTTCGATATACAGCACCCGCATTAACTCACCACACGGAGCACCGCCGACAGCTGTGCAGCCGATGGCGGTGGCGAGGACGACGATAGTGACGATAGTCCACATTGTATAGATCACGACCGATCTGAGGAATTGAACGAGATTGCAGCCTATACGATGCGCAGTGTCCTCACATGCGACGCGGTTACGTCTGGGTGTTAGAATGTGTTCTTACGCACGAGCGTCCCTCACACTATATATACGCGTAGCTAACAGATCCGGTTTAGTTTGCATCCAGGCCATGGGTATTTCCCATCCGGCAAAACACGTTCAGTATCCGCTTACGAAATTCACGAGAACCTCAGGCGCATCCTGGTTCTAACGCATCTCGTTATTTACGACATAAGCCCCGCCCCTTGGAGTGCAAGCAAGATGGCAGATACCTGTAACATTATTATGTCATGTACATGTAAATATTACTAAATAGTGTGCTGAATTAAACAACAACAACTGCTATTTCTGTTATTAATCAGGCGACTGAAGTTAGAATTGTAACGTTAGAAAAACAACCAGTGCTCAACATTAACGGATGCCTGAAACTGCTAATTATTATTGTGTAAGCAAACCCAGGAGAGAGCATCAGGAAAATAATGATAATGCTGCTAGGTGCAAGGGGAGAATTGATACAGCTTGAGAACCAGTTGGGTACTACCTCGTTTGGGTTTGTTTATATTGAAATAACTATCTGGAATTCGCATACCAGTCTTGTGGGAATCTGCACACATTAATTGTATGTATGTTTGTCGTATGTATGATGTTGTATGGGAATGTATGCTACCTTGTGCTTTTATGAGACAGTGTCAAAATCAGTTTTTCAACAGTAATTACCATGCGTCTTGCAAAAATATTAGTTACCGTGACGCAAGGTGAGTATATGGCGAGATATTGCCTATCGTCGCTTCTAAACTGGTACAACGGGCAATACGCACGTCGCTGTGCCCCATCCAGCATTGTCTGATCTAAGCTTAGTCATGGTGAGCCGTAGCGGAGACTGGCAAGGAGGAAGGACTGGGGTAAGGGCTTCCACAACGATGATGCTGTCATCTTTTCTTAGTTCGTCGTTAAGTCATATAGTTAGCTTCCCCTTAGCCTATCTGCAATATTATAGACCCTTTGCAGTCACATCCCGTTTTTACCAAGTGCTCGGATGCGCCGCCATGTTGGAAGCATAGTATGATAGTAAACAAGCGGAATGGAGACGTTAATGATAACCGCTCCTGCTCGTAACGGCCGCTAGGGCCTACTCGCTAGAGCGTT